TCCTCCTTCCAGATTAAAGGATTCAGAGCCAATGAATCCATGAAAGAAGGAATTAAATTAATACTGATGAGATCTTCTCCCTCCCTTGCTCAACGACCCTCAGAGCTCTCCAGCTCCCTTAGAGGAGGACTCTAGGAGCTGGCACTGGTCACTTCCCAGCCTCGGCTAGAACCGCATCCCCAGGTCTGAACTCCCCAAACAGCCCTGTCCCACAAGCGTCTGCCCCTGTGTTCCCCCTTCCTATCTGCCCTCCTCAGTCATCCCATGTATGCCTGGGGGACCTCTGGACATCGTTAAGGGCCTCAGAAAGCTTCAGGGACCCAGGGCCACCAGAAGCAATGGCCAGCTACTCCCAGGTTCCCCAGACCCCACTGCAAAAGGTAGAGGGGCCTCATTCAGGTGCATCCTGTAAGTGCCTGCTGTGGAGACGTCTGTGGCTTGCATCACACCTGGAGTAAGCACAGGGTAGGCCTGGAGGGGGTGCTGGGGATCAGGGAGGCTGTAGTCTAAGGTTTCTGGCCCCCGAAGGTGCTTAATATGGGGGGCTCTTTCCAGTCTGGCGGAGCCCTCCTGCAGACAGGGGCCTCAGGGAGCAGACCTGGACCCCGCCTCAACCCGAAGCTCTATCCTGTGTCTCTTTCTCCTTTACCCCCGACAGTGTCTGCAGCCAGCCAAGAGGCTGCTGTGGACAGCATGACAATGAGGCCAGGAGCTAGGTGAGTGGAGGCCGGGAGAGACTCTGAATAAGGGACAAGCAGGGCTAGGGTAGGAGCTGGGGGTAGAGAGGGGCAGGGGCTGGAGAGGAGAGGGCAGGGCAGGGGCCAGGACAGACAGGATGGGGGCAGGGCTGGGGCAGGAGCCATAGCAGGCTCCATCCAGGTCCCAGTGGAGATGGGGCTGGGGCAGTCACCTCTAGGGGTAGGGAAAGAGACAGAGGGTGTGGGTGGTCCTAGTCCAGGGGAGAGGTGGAGAAATTTTGAGGTGAAATAAGGAATTCAAGAGGCAAGAGTGAGTAGGGCAAAGAGGGGAAGAAGCCACTCAGGGTGCCGGAGGCCTGGGGATGGCACCTACCCCTTCAAGGGCCAGGCCCAGAGTTGGGCCTGGAAGCCTCCACCCAGACCCAGGCAGGTGGCAGGCGGCAGGAGAGGGGGACAGGGTGATCACAGTGGGGCCACATCACAGAATGAGGGCTCAGTGCCCTACGTGCCCTGCCCATCCCACCACCCTGCCTTTGCTCATCTGAGACCTATTTACTTCCCTCCTTGCATTCCAAAATATCCCATCCTCCCAGACCCCAGCCCCATCTCCCTGTGCAGTGAGTGACCCCTGACTCTCATGGTCCCACCCTGCGGGGTTGCATTCTGCTGGTTCAGGGGTGTACACTGGGCCCCCATAAATGTGTTTAGTCCCCATGAATATCACAGAGATGCCTCCTAGCCTGGTGGTCAAATTTCCAGGCTTGGGATTTGTTGGGTCCAATTTGAGCCCTTGCAGCTGGATTTTCAGACAGTAGGTGCTGCATAAGTCCTAGCACCCCATAACTGATGTGCACACAGCAGGTGCTCGACAGTAGCTTCTGGACTGAACTAAGTGCTCCTGTTTCCTAAGGGCCCATCAGCCCTGAGGAGGGGGAGACACAGTTGTCGCTGCTGCCTTAGCCTCTAGGCCCTGGCCCCAGCTGTCCAGCTTGGGAGGAAGGCCCATTGCTCATTCCCCTTGAGTCTGCAGCTCGGGCAATCAATCGGTCACCATGGAAACCAGCATCCAATCCGAGGCAGGGATTTCTTGGCTGAGCCTGCACCACCTACCCACCCACTCAGGCCTGGCTTTGCAAGTCCCCAGCTAGGACTGTTTGGGGTAGGGGGAGGAAGGTTCTGGTAAGACCGGGAGCATCAGCCTGCATCCCCCAAAGATGGGGCATTTTGTGGTTGCAGGGTGGGGGGGTTGTGGTGACCTCAGCAATTGTTCCCATTTGTGTGTGTGTGTGCGCGTGTGTGTGTGTGTGTGTGTGCATGTGTGTGTGTGTGTGTGTGTGCGATAGTGGAGACTGAACCCAGGGCCCTTACACCAAGCTGCATTCTCAGCTGTCCCCGCCCCTTTAACATTTTTTTAAATTTTAAAACAGGGTCTTTCTAAGTCACTAAGTTGCCCAGGCTAGGCTCAAACCTTTGGTCCTCCTGCCTCAGCCTCACAGACAGCTGGGATTACAGGTAGGCATCGCCATGCCTGGCTGCTCCCCTGATTTTAGGAGGTTCATCCTCTTACCTTCTGGCCTCAATACTCAGAATAAGACAGGAGAGGAAGGATCAGACACACACTGAGCAGAAGCCAAAGCTGAGGCCCAGCTGCAGTCAGAGGCCAAGCCTGGCACACATGGCCCCCTCCACCTCCTCCCTGGCCTGAGGAATGGGGCAGGGGAAGGGGAAGGGGCAACAGAGTTCCTGGCCCCACTGCAGCATGCACCTGCCTTCCTGCTCAATCTGTGCCCCGTGTGTGCCAGGACACCAGGAGACCTATGCCAAGATCTATGGACCTGCTCCCTTGCTGTCCACCCATGCCCAGCTGCAGCCTCTCCACCCCAGACCCCTGCCTTCCCACAGGCAGCCAGGCCTGGGCAGTGCCCTGGCTCTGACTCCCAGAGCCCCAAGGTCATAACTGCTCCTCCCTGGGTAGCATGACCCAGGCAGGTAACTGCTGTGTGCCTCGGTTTCAGTTTGGAAAATGGATTTATTTACCCCTCCCTTACAGGAAGAGGGAGGAGTCAGAGCCTAGCACCAGGCCTGGCACAAAGCTCATCCTCAGTAGATGTGAGGCCTGGCTCCCTACCCTGGGCCCTGTCAGTATGCAGAACTATGTCCTGTACCTGAGTGAGGCTCCCCCAAGCCACCCACCACCCAGGAGGCAGAAGGAGGCAAACACTACCAATATTAATAACCAGTGGGGGCAGGAGTTTCCAGTATCATCAGCCTCCAGGCACAACTAGGAATGGATAGGATCTGCATTCAGGTCTGAGCACCACCTGTCACCTCTGCTGCAGCTGGATCTCCTGGCCAGGCCCTCTCCAGCCAGAGCCTGTCACCTATGCCACTGGTACCCAGCTGTTCACTCTGCTCAGCTCTGAAGGAGGACTGGCTGGGTACCGCGCATCAGCACCACTGTCACATCTGCCCCAGCCACACTCTCGGGCTCTGCTAGGGGCACTGAGGAGACGGCAGATGCTGGGAACCCACTTGGCTAGGGGCAACACAGACACTTCTAGCAGGATGGACAAGGTGACCCCAGCTCCCGAATCCCTGCATGACCTCCTGCGGCCTCCTGCCTGGAAGTCCCGAATCTGGAGACCTGTTGGCTGGATGCAGATTGCACCTCCTCCCACCCCAGCAGACCCAGCTTGCCCTCTCCTTTACTGAGCACCTACTATGTGCCACACTCTCCCTGAGGCATATGCACCAAGGCCACCCAGCTGGTAAAGGACAAAGGGAGGATCTGGACTCAGCTATGGGGAACTTCAAAGGAAGCTGCTGGGCCTCCCCTCTGGGGCTGCCTCCTCCCTGAGACTCCTGGAGGACAGGATTCCAGCTGCTATTGCAGTTCTGCTTTCCCCTCTCTCCCCCTCACCCCAGAAAACAAACTGATGGCTCCAATCACCCTTTAATCTGTCCCAGCACCCCCAGCAGGAAGCAGGGCAATCAGCCCACCCCACCCAGCCTGTGCCTCCCTCTCCATCCGCCCATGATTAAACACTAATTGCTGCCATGCTCTCAAATTGAGGACTTTAATTTCCCAAAATGAACAGTACATTTCAATCAGTTCCTTCCCAGACCGTTCCTCCTGTGTAGGGACCAGAGCTCGAGCCCCTCTGGGCCATGGAGGGTGCCATGTGCTGCCAGCCACCCCAGGCCTGTCGTTCCCATCCCCCATACCACCCTTCTCTGTGGCCCGGCTGGGGACGAGGTCTATGAGCACCATTGGAGAGAACCCAGATGGCTTCAGAGAGGTGAGGCTGACCCTACCCAAGGTAGTGCAGGTGACAGGGCAGGTGACAGGGAGGGGCTCCGCAGGGGCAGGGCCAGCTGCCCAGGTGCCTGCCTCCCACCTCCACCCCACCGCCCAGGTCTGGATCACAGTGTGGGCATCAGATGCCTGAGGCAGCCGAGGGGATGACCAGCAGCAAGGGCAGGGACTGGGGGGCTAGGAGCCTGGGCTTTTCCCACTCTCTGGGCCCAGGATCCTTACTGGTGCCAGGAGGAGCCCTCAGAGGGTTGCCGGTCGATAGTTAGAGGGCCCTTTAGCCGGTTCATCACAGGTACAAGTCTAGGCCAGGTGGACTATCTGGGGGGCTCTGCTCACCCAGGTCTGAGGAGGGGCCAGGACCAGGCAGCTTCTGAAAAAGTTTCCAAATGATCATAATATACAGCTGCGCTTGGAAACCTCCAGGGTAGCTAACAGGTGTGAATGTGGGCCAAGAGAGGCTGAGTGTCTAGCCCAGGGGCACACAGCAAGATGAGGTGTCAGGCTATAGGATGGTAACAGCCCTTCCCTTTCAGATGTTTCAGAGAAATGGGGGAAGACAGAGTAGCCCCAGCTGCTTCTGAGCCTGAGGCAGGAGGGTGGCTTAAGGCCGAGAGCTCCATACCAGACAGTGAAGCATTGTGGAGAGGGATAGAGTCAAAAATTCTCACTTGAGACTCTTCCTGGTGTTAGGTGTAGACCTTGGGCACCCCAAAAATCAGGGCCCTGGGGACTTCCATGAAATCTCTCCATGGTGCAGGCTGGCTCAAGATGCCTCCAGTGGGGCCAGTGGAAACTGCAATAAATAATAATTAACAGTAATAACAGCAGCATTTACTGAGCACTTGGGTCCAGGAGCCCAGCTACACAGTCACCATGGATTACTTCTTTCTGTGCATTCCACCCTTCCAAAGAGGACTTCTGCTCCACACCATCCCACGAGTGAATGAGCAAAGCAAAGAGCAGAGTGGGGCTGCAGAAGGGGTCTCTCTGCTGGATCCACAGGGACAGATGGCTGGGCTGGGATTTGAACTCCAGACTGGGCAAGCAGGCCACTCTCTAGGATCCAGCCGCAGTGCCAGGTCCCAGAGCTGCCAGGCCCAGCACCCCAGGGACTTCACTGAGGCCCAGCACTGCAGAGCTGGGTGAGGGAAATGGGGCAGGGGGCGGCGTCATGGTCCCTTACTTGCCTCGTCCACCTCGGTCAGCTTAGTGCACTCCACACACTCCACACTCAGGTGGCGCAACACAGGCCAGCCAGCTAGGGCCAGACCCAGGCTGGACGGAGAGAGGAGCAGAGGGGAAGGCGGTCACTGCAGGCAGAGAGACCATCAGAGGTGCATGGGCTCCGGTGGCCACTGCCCCCACTGCGTTTACAGAGGTCCCACCCTGTTTCTGGAAACTGATCTTGGCCCCCCATCCCACTCTACCTGTGTACTGTGATTTGCTGCATACCTCTTCACTCCCACTGTGTGACTCTAGACTAATGTCTTAACCTCTCTGGACTTCAGTAGTGTCTTCCAAGGCCAGAAGTGCTGGATGATGGAACGCTGCCCTGTAATGGGTTAGAGAGGGAGACTGTCCAGGTATCAGCTTGACTTTGCACACATGTCTGCCTGGCAGCCAACACCTTGGAAGAAGCTGGCTGCCTCCCAGGAGGGAGTCTGGTCCCCAGGGAAGGAGGGGGCTGAGTCTCCGTATGGCGCACACTTACCTTTTAAATATTGAAGCGTATAAATGCATTAGTAATTCCAACAAATAAATAAAATAAAACACAAACATTTACAAAGCTAAACTTTAAAAATAATGCTAGTACCTGGCCTGTGTTGTGACGTGCGTGGGAGTTCCTGCGACGTTCCTTGCGTTGTCACTTCGCCCAGCTGGCTTCCGCTCTCTGGTCTCTTTTCTCCACCTCTCCCGTCTGCACGGCCCCTGCCCCCCGCAGCCCACCTTGTGCAGCAGCCCCTGGCCACCGGCCAACCCTGGCCACCTCCCAGGTGGAGCAGGCAGGGGTGGGGACAGCTCAGCCTCCTCAGCCTCCACGACCCCACGTGGTAGGGGCTTCCCGGCCCCGCTTCAGGGAGTCCCCTCTTCACAGCTCGGCTTGGAGGGGTGGTTCAAAGCAGCAGGGGCAGCCCCTGGGGTCCCACCAGCGTCCCTCCCACACCCCCACAAGACACAGCCCCCCGTGTGCAATGTCCCCAGGGGACCTCATCGGTGACCTGCTGCAGGCCTGGCCTGTTCTCGTGCCACACTCCTCCTCGCTCCCCAGCTCTTCACCCCTCCCCAGAGATGGTAACAAATAAACACCTCTGCCTAACCACGTCAGCATCCAGGCCAAGGAAGGGGGTGCCCTCCAGTGACCCTGGAGAGCCTGTCCAAGGGTGACTGCCCAGGCTGCTGTCCATGGTACCAGTCTCAGGGCCCTGACACAGGCGCTCCCAGTGCACATCCTCCAGCTTCCTCCCTCTCTCTAGAACCAACTGTGACTCTTGCAGCCCTGGGAAGGAAGGCAGAGTGCTCTGGTTGACATTCAGGCCTTTGAGCCTGGCCCTGGCATGGTCTGTAGTCCTGCTGTCATTGTCTCCGAACCAACCAGCTTTTCCTGGTTGCTGGAAGCAGCTGTCTGCTTCCTGGGCTCAGAACATCTGCCAGGCCCCTGAGGCTCAGCCTCCCTTCTGAAGGTCCCACTCCATGGCACCCCAGATCTCCTTTCCACACGGGGCCTTGACCACAGCAAGGCCAGTGGGATGGGCCTCTTTGACAGATGGAGAAACTGAGGCTTAGAGAAAGCGATTTTCCCAGGCTTTGCATCACATGGCTTCCTGCTGAATATGGTCAATGGGAGACTCTGGTGGGGGACAGGCAGAGGGGATACCAGGGGTTTCTCCCCCTCTGACTGCCTTTGGCATGGTCTGGCCAAGTCAGCTTCCCCCATGGCTTCCACTGGTGTTGGAACAGCTCTGCCCGGTTCTGTGGACCTTAGGCTCCAGTAATAATGCCACCTGCACCCACTGGCCCCTGGCCTCAGGGAAGTGGCAATATCCCCCAGTTGCTGCTATCTCTGCTCATTGTCCCCTTCTACCTCTTCCTGTCACCCTGTGCATCCAGTGCCATGCAGTAAGTCCCCTGGGCCATCTCCTGTGCTGTTCACTCTGCCTGGGAGGATCTCTGCCGCATTGCAGCCTTCAGGACGCCCTCTTTGACTCAGTTTCAATCTAGCTGCCTCCCTCAAAGCCATGGTGCTACCTGATCTTATGCTTCCTAATCATTTTCGAGATGTTGGGTGTTGCCTTGGAGCCCTGCTCAGAAGCTCCAGGAGGCCAAGATGTGGCTGTGGTCCTCAAGGCTGTGGTTGTAACCCCAGTATCTGTCCCTATGCCTGGGCCTCACCACCCTCAGCCAACATTTACTGAATGAATGACTCCATAGAAGAACTGTGAGTACATGGCCGGCTTTGCATGTGGGGAGATGCAAGTTCTGGGCCAGACTGCAAAGGGCCTTAGGTGGTAGACTAAACTAAGGTGGTGGGATGGGGTCAGGGAAATCTTCCACTTTCCCTTTGCTCATCAGATGCCTGACTTGCTACATCCCCAAGTTCACACTGACAGAACAATCAATGTGTTTCCCACTTTCTGAAAGCTTCCCAGCTGCCTGGCACTCTCCCATCATACACTGCCAAGCCTAGGAGGCCCAGTGGAGGTGGGGGGGCTGTGCCAGGCGGGGTGGGTCACCTGGAGGCCAGAACTGGGAACTGGGATCAGGTTCCCCTTTGCTTGGGGCAGCCCCTGGAGCCATGTCACTAGCTGTTAGCCTGTCCCCTCCCTGAACCACAGTGCCGGGAGGGGTGATGTCAGCACAGCCTGAGGCAGCCTGCAGGGCTGGTCACGGGGTCTGCTTCAGAAGATTGACAGGGGGACCTGCAAAAACGCCTGGCAGTCCTTGATGTGCTCCACATCAAACCAGGCCTGGCCCAGCTCCTTCTTCTCCTGGGAAAGCCGGGTGAAACTCCCAGCTGCCCCACATGGTGCACAAGCACCAGAAGTAGAGTCTCAACCCGGGGTTCCTAGCCTTCTAGTCCTTCTGGCTGCCCTCTCTCTTCCTCAGAGAAGGAAGAGTATAGCAGGTGGGCTAGGTACATGGTTGCCACTCTGACCTCGTATCAACATAAATACCTTCAAGGAAGAAATGTTTATTTTGGCTCATGGTTTCAGAGGTTTCAGTCCATGGTTACTTGGCTCCAAGGCAGGGACAAGGTGACAGGTCACGACCAGCAAAGCTGCTGACAGTTTGGAAGCAGAGGGAGCAGAGGGAGCCAGAGAGGGGGGAGCTTGGGACAAGACACACTCTGTTGGTTTTTTTTTGGTACCGGGGATCGAACTCAGGACCTTTTGCTTTCAAGACAGGAGGCGGAACCACTGAGCTAAATCCCCGGCCCATGACACACTCTTCAAAGCCAAGTCCCCAGAAGCTACACCCTGCATGACCAGCTCCATCCAATCCAACCATGCCCTCTAACAGCACACTATGAACTAGTGGATGGCTTAATCCATTGGGCAAGCGGATTAGTGCCCAGACCTACTCACCTTCCTAAAGCCCTACCTCAGAACACATGAGCCTTTTGGGAAACAGTTTTGATCCAAACTATAACAACAGGCATACCCTGGCAGGCATGTGGGGGAACAGAAGAGAGGAAGTGCAAAGGACCCGGGAAGGAGTGCACAGTTGGGCAAGTCCCAGAGCCTTTCTGTGCCTTGGTTTGTTTACCTATATGCTAAAAGAAGTCATGGGATTATGCCAAGTAACATAAGCCTGACACAAAGAGGGAGGGGTTCCTGTTTCTAAGGATTACGGGGTCCCAGTTGGGGCAGTGGCAAAGCTCAGGAAATGGATGGTGCCGATGGTCACACGGCATTGAGAATGTATTCAGTACCACTGACTTGTACACTGGAAAAGCAAACATGGCAAATTTTATAGTGCATATATTTTACCCCAGTTTAAAACACACACCCACCCACATGCACACACACGTGCACAAGATGTTCCTCTCCTACCCCACAGCAGGCTGGGCCAGCGGAGCTGCTGTGGCTGTTTGGGGACAGAAGGGACTGGGAGGGGACAACTGCCTGGACCTTCGCCTTCCTGCTCTGGCAGTGGCTAGCAGGGCTCAGGCTGGGCAGAGCCAGAGGAGCCCGGGACCCAGTGTAGAGCCGGAGAGCTCCTGGGTGACCCTCACCTCGCCCACACCTGCCCATGGGGCATAGGCTGCCTCCCAGGAGGGGAGACTGAGGCCCACGAGGTTTAGAGATGCCCTGAGGTCAGATGACCTGGTGCACTGAAGAACAAGCCTGTGTCTCACCCTGATTCCTGCTGCACCAAAGCCCGGCCCAGTGCCGGGTGCTGGCTGGCCAGCATCCCGCCAGACCCACCTCTCCCATCCCTCAGTATCCCACACTTGGCAAAGTTCTCTCTTCTTCCTTTGGCATCACAGACACCCAAGAATATCCACACAGAGAAGACAGACAGAGGACTCCTAAAAAAGCCGGACACCCTGCTGAGTTGCTGCTATTAACTTCCTAGGAAGCTCAAGAGGAAAAATAGCCGGAGAGAGGAGGTGGCCGAGCCTCCCAGCTATAAGAGAGCTGAAAGGCAGGCAGCTTCAGGTGGCAGGTGGGCGAGAGGCGGCTCAGAGTCCAACCACTCCTGCCACCGATCCACCGTCTGGCGGCTGCCGCCCGCCTGAGAACACCTGCCCAGCGCTCAGGGCCTCTGCAGACCAAGTGGGCCTCGAAGGCCAGGCCAAGGGCAGGAGCCACACTGCACAGAGAACAGCGATGCGAGGCCGGGTGGGACAGCATCACAGGGACGTGGCCAACGTCACACAGGTGAGAAAGGCCTGGGCTGGAACTCTGAGACTGAGTCTAGGTGAAGGTAAAGTCTGAGAGAGAAGTGGACAGGTTGGGAAAGAGAGAGGGGGAGAGCAGAGAGCAGACAGCAGGGACAGGGTGGAGAAGAGAGAGACACTGGGGTCGGAGAGGCTGGAGGGGAGGCCTTGGGGGGCCAGGCTTGCCACTGAGGCCGCGCTGCAGCTGGGAGGGGAGACGCAGCGTCAGGAGCTTAAGGAGGCTCAGCCTTCCACACACACTTGGCAGTCTTGTGCCCATCACCAAGGGGCGTCATTAAGGATCTGGTCCCCCTTCCTGCCCATCCTGGGCCCCAAGATCTCGGTCTTGGTCCCTGCTCTGCCGCTGGTGGCCTGTGTGGTCTTGGGTGAGTCACTTTCCCTCTCTTGGCCATATTCTACATGGATGATTCTGTTGCTGGGATTGTCTTGCTAGCTGAGAACAACCCCAGGGCAGAGAAAGCTCTTGGCTGCACTTTGGAGAGCACTGATTCTAGAGTCCCAAGTCTCCATCCTGACTCCAGTCCTCCCATCGGGGCCTGCCATGTGCCCAGAGCTGGTCCCGAAGCCAGAAAACCTGGTTTCTTAGGAGACCTTCTATTCCGGACAACTCTGGACCTTGAGCGGTGAGGATGGAGGCACAAGGAAGCCATTAGGGCCCCCCCCCCTTCCCGTAGACGGCCACTGCCAGGACCACTCACCTCCCCAGCACCCAAGGGAGCCCCAGACACCTGGCACTATGGTGGCACATGGTTCCTTAGCTGCCCAGTCCCCTGCCCCCTACTCCACAGCAGGAGGAGAGCCTGGGTCCCTGGAGGCTGACCACCTCCCGATAGCCCCTTCCTAAGGGCACAGAGTGGGGCAGTGAAACAGCCATCTTCACACCCATCCCCTCCTCCAGAACCTGCCATGGCTCCCCATTGTCCAGCCAATGGCCCCCCCTCAGCCTTTCATTCCCATTGCTCCCTTGGTCGCCCCATCCCCCAGCCCTGTCTCCAGCATCGCAGAGCATCTTCCCCTCCTGGGGACCCCATTTTCTCTTAGAGGTTGGGGGTGGGGGCCTTCAGGGCAGCAGGAAGTCCCC